TGTGTATGTATGTATGTGTATAGTTGAGCCTGAGAACAAAGAGTGAAAGTAAAGAGACGAACTGACCCACTCTCACGGTGAACATCCTCCGGTCTCTCTCACTGAACTGTTTCACCTGAGCTGCTCACCAAGCTGACAGCCTGGCCCCGCCCACTTCCCCCGCTCACCTGATGACAGCAGCTCTCTCTCTCTCTCTCTCTCTCTCTCTCTCTCTCTTTTGTTTTAATCTGAATCTGTTGAAAACACTTTCATTCTAATTTTTTATAAGATCAGTAGTAATTGTAGTAATAGTACACAGTAGATGTGCAGCTTTTTAAAAACAGTCTTTGGTGCAGCGTGAAGTGAGAAAACTTTGTGTTCATCCTCTCTGGTTTATCTGCACTGAATATTTTATTCTTAACGTTTTTCATTTAATGAAACTATATTTGCTTTATCACTGTTCATGTGTTTTATATATAAATAATAAAAGCTCAGTAATTCAGCTTGATATAAAGCATTGCAGCAACAAAACAAATGTGCTTTTATTTTGAAGACAAAAAGCTTTAGGGGAAGTGATTCTATGAATACTTTTATTGACTAAAAATCAAAACTTGTAATAATGGAAATACTTCTACATTTCTGTTTTTACTTCAACAACCTTAATACAACACTTAACGATGTGAAGACGTGAGGAGACGAGAAACTGAAACTGGTTCAGCAGCTCCTCGAATGTCTCACAGAGGAATCTGGTTTTCACAGAGCTGAGCAGACCGCCCAGACCAGATCCTTCAAGACCCAACCCCCTGCAGAGAAACCTGCAAACTACTCACACACACACACACACACTTTGACGCTGCTTTGTCTTCTCAGAGTCTTCAGAGCTTTTTTCACATGGTGTCATTCAGTCTGAACTACAGCCGCTCGTGTAACTTGATGTTCTTCAGCTGGTTCTCACATTAACAAACGATGGACGAACTCTTCTGAACATCTGGATGAACAACTGAGTCACACTCACTTGTTTTAGAATCTGCAGATGAGCAGCAGCATCACTGACGAGTCTTCGTTCTGCTGCTTCAGGTCACTTCATCATCTGTCGCTCGGGCTCCTCAGCTGTGGTAAACAAGCCTTATTTATATTATCAAGTCATCTGATGGTTATTTTCACTGATTGATATAGTTTGTCAGGTAAAAGTACAAATACTAAAATGCAAATATATATTTTTATTATATCTCCAGATAGATGAAACAATGGAACACATGGAGCTTGTCCAGGTGAACTCAGACGTCAGCTCCTGGTGTCACTGTCCTGCTGGAAACACATCCACACTCTGCTCAGCGACAGAACTTCTCTTCCTCCTGTTCAGAACCACAGCTACAGTCACTTCATGTTTCAACCACATCAGTTCACAGCCTCTGACACAGACTCCAGGTTTGTGTTTGACATTATGTTTTAGTTTCAGTCCACACACGTCATAATAAGTTGATCTCATGAGTTTTGAATGAGTTGTGCTTCTGCTCATCTTTCATGTGTTGCAGGATGGATAGAAGGAAGAGGCTGACAACTTCCTGTAGTGAAACCTTCAGTGAAGCAGCCTGTGTGTGTTTTATTTTTTTTTAAATAAAATAAAAAATATAAAATAACATTAAACCTCAGTTTGATTAAAGTGAGTCTGATGAGTGAAGGTGGAGAACGTTTCCTCCTTCGCTCCCTGAGTCTGTTCTCTCTCTCTGCTGAGTGGGTTCATCTCCTGAGAGAACAAGTGACTGAGAGTCTCCATCAGCTCCAGTGGAAGAGTGAAGCTGAACTGAGATCAGTTCTTAACAACCAGAGTTTATCTCCAATGTTCAGCAGAATCTTTAAAACATGAAGAACTCAGCAGCAGCTCTTCTG